GTGAGAGAGTGTTAAGCACGAAGGGTGATGCCGTGCACTTGTCTTTGATTTCCTGATTCTTAGTTTGATTTTGTGTGTGACTATGATTAAGTGATTTAGAGTGTTTAGGTTTTGATTAATTTTTATTTTATTTTTTTTAGGTAGTGTAGTAATTCTCCCTTGGTTTTGATCTTTTTTTAATCCTCCCATATATATATATATATATATATTTTTTTTTTTTTTTTGTTTTTTATAGATTAAGTTATTTGCTACAGTGAACCAATGCTGGGGTTTTATGTGTTGGTTAAAATTTTATTGGGCTTCTTTTTCTCTTTATTTTAAGCTTTTCAGTTCTTGTGTTATTTGTGAATTTGTTTTGTGTGAGATTGGTTTTTTAACGGAGATTTTTCTTGAGAATTATATTGGGTTTCTGTTTTAAAGGTTCTACCTTTTTTTTTTGTTTTGTTTTCTTGTTGGGTTTGCTGATGTTTGATTCCATATATAAATGGAGATTTTTCTTGAGTTTTAATGGGTTTCTGATTTAAAGGTCCAATCTTTTTGCTTTTTTGGATTGCTGATGTTTGATTCTATGTATAAATGGAGATTTTCTTGAGAATTCTAATGGGTTTCTGCTTTAAAGGTCCAATCTTTTTATATATTTTTTTGGGTTTGCTGATGTTTGAGTCTATTTATAAATAGAATTTTTTCTTGAGTTTTAATGGGTTTCTCATTTAAAGGTCCATCCTTTTTATTTCTTTTTTGGGTTGCTTGATGCTATGTATAGAGTTCTTTCATTAGGCCCTTTTTTGTTTTCAAGAAATTAAGGAAGAAAGCTATTTTATTTGGTTTTGATGCTTCTGCATACAGCTGATTTGAACATGGAATGTGTTAACCTGCTTATTGTTTTGATGAAAAAAGCTTTTTCTTATCTTGATGATGTATTGAAGAATTTAAAAGTTGGTATCTTTCGTCCATGCTCACTGGAGTTTAAGAATCCAAAATCAAGAATTCTTCATTTGTTCAATTTTATTCCATGCTCATTTGTATTTGATGTCTGTGTATCTTATTGCAGATATATCTTCTCTTTTCTCTTTTCTCTTTTTTTCTTCTCATTTCTGTTTAATCTTTCTTCTTCTCATGCCAACTGCTTATATGACCAAATTCTTTATTTGTTTTCTTTTCTCTTTTTTTTTTTTTTTTTTTTTTTTGTCTTATTCTCACTACCTCGGTTGTCTATCGGAAACAACCTATCTTCCTTCATAAGGTAGGAGTAAGGTCTGGATACGCATTACCCTCCTTAGACCCCAAGTGTGGGATTTCACTGGGTTTTTTGTTGTTGTTGTCCCACTACCTCGGTCCAATATTTCTAGTGCAATTTTCCTTTGTGGTTGATGATGTCTATTTTGTCTCTATTTAAATATGCCTTAGTGGTTTAAATAATAGTTTTGTATGTAAGTAGAACAAGTATCAGGATATCTGTACATAATTGATGCTATTGCTCTTAAAGTATACCATAACTGAAGGATAATTTTCAAAAACATCAATGTTATTGGGAGGAAATCTACTCTTATGACCTTCATCTCATCGACAGGAATCAAGGTCACATAGAGGCTCTGGATTCTAGGTAGTAATAGTAGTTGCACATGAAGTGCAATGTTTTGTTGATTTGGAGATGTCTTATCTGGCTTCTTTTGAGAAACCTTGTTTTTGTGAAGAGAATGAAAATGCCTTTGAGAGCATGATACTCTAGATTGTGTTACTGATGTGAAAGCATAAATAAGATGTAACTGTATCTGAATTCGGCCGTGAAGGCATGTTAATATGCTCATCAAGCTAACATTTGGTAGCACGAAAAGTGGAAAAATCTTTGCTTCAGTGATATGCAGTATACAGCCTTTCTGTTCTTAAATCCTTAGATACAATTCTATGTGCAATCTCTTAACCAACCCCCCCCCCCCCCCCCCCCCCCCAACCACACCACCACAAAAATACCAATCTTTTCTGTTGGCAGTGAGGCTTTACGTTTTACGTCATTATCATAACATGTTGATTATAATTCTATTCTACTGCTGTCTTATGTTACCTGCCTAAATTGGAGTAAATATGGTTTATTTTAAATTTTCCAGGTGTGCTAAGGACAAAGTGTGTGGATCTTCAGGCACTACAATACTATCTCAAATTCTCTTTGAGGTTGTAATTTGGTGTATAATATAGCCCTAATGCAGCAGGGGCGACGGAGTGCCTTCGGTTCCCTGCAAGAATCTTTAGGTTTCAATCATGGTTCTACGTCTAGTGATGGTGGTGCAGATCAGCAGATATGCTGGAATAATGATCCTGCACAAAATCACCTGACAGATTATATGGTATCTTCGAATGAGACCAATTTTCCATTTATCGACCCTGTGAACCAAGAGAGACAGAATGTAACCGGGTGGAGTTTAGGAGAATCCAGCTCCTCTATTACACCGAATTGTGCAAGTCGGAGTGAACAGAAAACAGATCATGGATGGTCATCCACGATGACCACTTATCCTGGACCTTCACATTTCTGTAACGAACAGCAATATGGGTCTTCTGACATTCTGTCATTGAGTAATACTGAAGAAAATTTAAGCAGCCATCGAATAGATAACAGCACTTTATTTTCTCAAGGTTATAGTTCTAGCACCATTCCTCATGATATCAACAGAAATCCAGTATTTGAGGGGCACAGCGACGATAATGATGATGACAATGACTGTCAAGTGATGGAGTGTACTCCATACAACTCTGATAGACCAGGAAAAGAGCAAAAATCATCTGCTAGTACTTCTGGAACTAATGGATATTTGATGGACGATAGTGATGACAGGCCAGACAGTTCACTGGATGGTCGGCGCTTTTGTAAGAGAAAAGCTCTTGAAGGATATCTAGCGCAATCTTCAGGGAGTGGTAGTTCTAGTTATATTCCTCTTGCTGATAATGGCTTATGGAATTCTGTACCTGCTCCTCCACATAGTATGAGTACAGGTGCAAATATCTCTGCTCCAACAGAAAGTAACAGAAGCATCAATATGTCAGAGCAGGTGATCCCAAGACTTGGGCTTACCATGGGAGGAGCCGTTACGGAAACTCCTCTTGATACACCGGCTTCAAGATCTCAGAGAAATTTCAGGGTGAGGATTAATGGCTCACTTCAGCAAGATTATCTTCCTAGTAATCCCTTTCCTGCTGTGGATGATGTTGGAAATGTTAATCTGTCATCTGAACAGCAATTACCGGAGCTCCTTCCTAATTTCTCTTTGGATTTGAGGTCTGTGTCTGCTGCAGATAGTGGAAATACTCAAAGGCAGCCTGTTTTAATGCATGTTCCTTCTCTACATCGACGTGCACAGGCTAGGTGGAATTCAGCATCAAGTTCAAGAACTGGAAGTTCATCTAGTTTTTCTGGTGAGAGAAATTCAGCAACATTTGAAGAGCCTAACTCAAGAAGTGTGTCAAGAAACATCTCACAACATCCTATATTCATACCTTCAACTGATGGGAGAAACTTGAACCAAAATCCTGCCAACTGCAGTGTAGCTGGAAGAAATGTTTCTGTTGCTGGAAATGTGGCATCCACATCTCGCAACAGCTCCAGTTCAGGGGTCCACACATCCTCTCCTAGGGTTCCCCACAGATCTCCTCAATATCATCGGAGACTGCAAGAATTAGTCCGTAGATCTTTGTTGTCTTCAGATGGCGCTGAATCTGGAGGTCATAGTGGTAATAATCCACTACGTTTGAGTTCTGCTGTCTCACTGGAGACGGCACTATCTGGAAACCATGAGCATCGTACATCGAGTTCAAGGTCAGCAATGATGTCGGAGCGACATCTTGATGGTGCTACCGGAGTCCCCTATTCCTGGAGGAATTTGGCTGCTGCACGTGAACGAAGAAGCAGGGTAGTCACTGAGGTATTTTCACTTAACTGGTCATGTCATAGTTATCACCTCCTTGTCTCATTCAGCATGAATTGTTGGGTGCACAGGTGTTCCTGTCACTCCAATTCCTTTAGATTTCCTTTAGTGATCAAATTAAGGGCAGGGGTCCGCAACCGCAAGGGGTAAAACAGGCGGCCCACCCAACTTTGTTTTATACATGCATAACTGTCCCTAAGTTGGATTGACTGATCAAATTAGGGAAGACATGGATCTAATTTATGGGTCTCACTTGTTTTACCAATTTTCGGATTAGCAGATCTTTGTTGTTAACTTGTTAAAGAACTAGAATGAGAAGGCCTTCGTTCCTTCTTTATGCAATGTAGTTTGCATTGTTGAAGCCTTCTTTACCAGTTACTCACCAGCTAAATATCTTTTTATTGAACAGATTCGCAATGTGTTAGATCTTATGCGCAGGGGAGAGGGCCTAAGATTTGAGGTTAGATTCTTGCCATTGCCTTATCAAAAATAATACAAAAAGATTTGAGTTTAGGTTCTTACTGCCACTTCAATTGAATGATGGGCTTTATATCCATTTCCCTTGCATAATGGAAGTTAGAGGCGTAGCAAAATGATGGGACATGAAGAGGTTTTGAATCAGTTCTCTTCTTGTCTTAGGGAGGAGTTAAACTGATAGAATTAGCTATCAGACCATCTCTTCCCAAATTTAAATGATTCCTTCCTCATATTCCAGGATGTTATGATGCTTGATCAGTCAGTGTTCTTTGGGATGCCGGATATTCATGATCACCATAGGGATATGCGGCTTGATGTTGATAATATGACATATGAGGTTAGTGTGCTAAACAGAATTACATTACATTCTACGGAAAAAGGTTCAAAATGCCCCTAAACTATTGGAAACGGTTTAAAAATACCCTTCATCCACCTATTGGGCTAAAAATACCCCTCCATCCACCTTTTTGGTTCACTTATGCCCTTTGACCGTTAGATCAATGCTGAATTAAAAATAATTATTATTCTTTTTGTAAAACATAAAAAAATATATTTCACAAAATATTTCATTTTTTTAACTAATGCACCAGTAATCCACTAATTTAGTAAAGTCATCTTTCTTTTTTTTTTTTTTTTTCAGTTTTTACAAAAACAATTTAGTTTTTAGAAAAAATATCTTTTTTTTTTTGGCATGTTTTTCAGTTTTTTTAAAGCATTTTTTTTCTTCTAAAAACTGAAGAAAAAAAATTGTAAAAATAGAAAAAAAATGTTTTTAATAAATATTTTCGTTGTTGAAAAATATTTATT